GAGGGGGAGGTAGAGCCGTGGAGGGGGAGGGAAGAGAGAGGGGAGGCGAGGGGAGGGCACCGCGAGGCAGAGAGAGAAAGAGAGGGGAAGGGGAAGGGGAAGGAATTAGGGGTTAAGAGTTTTTATATCACCTGATTTTTGAATAATAAACCTTGGTCCCTGAATTTTGAATTCCAATCTTTAAACACCTGAATTATTATAATTTCCCTAATTGAAAAGAAGACAGAGAAAAATGTATTTTGAGAAAAATTAAAATCAAACAAGGGCTAAATATACTACAAACTCAATCAACTTTATTTCATTCGACGACTATTCTTAGATGCTTCAAATTTCGATTTGTGTGAAAGGAAAGAGGGAATATTTAAATTGTCGAGAAATTATTGTCAACTTCGGCGATTTGATAAAAATGTCTACATTTTTGAATTTTGGGCAAAAGAGAAGCGAAAGCATCTAAATGAACCAAAATTTCTCATTAACTTTACTTAGTTTAGTTTGACAAAAAGCCTAAGTAGTTGTACGGAAGTGGGAAATTTGAGAACAATTTAAAAAATATAAAAAAAATATGCTCATGCAATATTAGTACAGTGTACTTTTATTGAAATGTCTTCTATATACGACAAACGAAGAAAAAATGAAATAACATAATGCTGGCTAGTCGTACCTATCTATATGTAGATACAAAAGCAGAAAGTGAATAGCACTCTTAGAAATTGGAATGTAATCAATTTTTTATATTCAAAAGGTAATAAAAACAGAAAGATCTTGAATTTTTCTTTTATCACTTAGAAGCATTTTGAGATGGAAATCTCATGCACAATTTTGAATGAGAAAAATGAGGGATTTTCCTTTTGTTGATGTTAAATGAATGAATTGGTGCGAAGTTCCAAAAGTCTCAGAGAAAATTCCGTGCCCACCAATAAGTTGAAAACAAAATTGAACTCTGAGATCCAATCTCTCGTTGTTTCTTAGTAAATTTCTGCTTTCATCATATCGTATCACATGCTGTTACGCGAGATATGAAAATATATTCAACTCCAACAGAGGCTTTCAATAGGGTCAGCCTATTCAGCTCCGCAACACCATCCTGCAATGCCTTGTTGGAAACATACGAAAAAGGCGATATACTGGCAAAATAAAGCACTTCATGATGTACAGACAGTACAGTCCTCATAGTCACAGTCCAAAACACGATCGATTTATCTTTTGTCCTCGTTCCAAGTACAAGGTTCGTCACACTAGTTTGCATTTTCATTTCTTCCAATCGACAACTAGGGTCAGCAAATTTGCAGCTGACAAGAATCCAACTACCACTAGATTGGCTGGGATTATACATTAGCGAAAAATTATTACAGCCCTAAAAATTTTCTCTTGGGAAGAAAATCTTGTAGATTTCATTTTCACCATAGTGCCTGCAAACTCTAATTTACCCACATGCAGAGATGATTTCTTAAACTTCGACGCAACCCTTTAACCTTCAATGCTAAAAATTCCAGACAGCAGTTTCGGGTCTCTCAAGCTAATGGAACTCATCCTATTTTTGCGCCAAAGAATGACTGCAAGGAAAACGGTAATAAATACCATTAATATTCTGTCCAAAAGTCGCTGAATTGCTTTCCTTGAACACAAATGATATGGTGATGGAAACATTAAAGGTACAAAGCTCACGGCATAAGAAGAAAATCATGAAAATATTAAGGAAAATAATCTGGTAAACGACAAGAATAGAGTTTACTAGAAACAGTAAAATTTCAAAAAGAAGCGATTTTATACAAAAATGCTGAGATAGATATAAAGAATGCATGCCAATTCGACTTTGAACTATGAATAATGATATCAATATTAACATGATGGATTTGGCATCATGAAGTTCAAATATCAAAACTGGCGTGAATGCAACTTCTTTTCAATACACTCCCATCTAAACCTATAAAGCCTTGTTAGATATTTGGTGGGTGAGAGAGCACCCGTGAAAATTTCTGATTTTGTCAGTCTCTCATATTTTCTTTGAAATAAGAAAGGAAATATAGCAGGTCAAAAAATGAACCAAATTTTTAAAAATAAATCCAGCGTTGAAAACTTATGAGCTATGAAGCATGTACACTTCTACTGGGTGGCGTATTGGTCTGATACATATCGGACACCAACAACCATCACATACTGTATGACATGTTTGATACGACACATGGTGTCCCTTTTCTTTGGGATGTGTTCTATTTTTATTTTTATATTTTTTTAAATTTCCAACACTTAATGGACACTTCAAATACATGTCTTGGAACGTTTTGACGCTCTATCATAATCTTTATAACTCTGTGTATAGGAACACTTTCTCAACACATGACAGACACAGTAAGCCCAATTTTTAAATTTTTGGAAAAGAAAACTTGTATTATTAAAACATTTGTTCAGAAAAGTAAGACTAATGTGATAAATTTCTATGCATTTCATGTCAAATTTTTTATATATCTATTATATGCATTTTTCTTTCTCTAGCAATAGTAAAATACAGGTTAACCCAAACTCATCTAGATATATTGAATTCAAGAGATTGCACCACCAAAAGCAAAGTTAAAAAATAGTGTTTTTATTGATACATAAAAAATATAAAATGAAGATGTCCCTTTTCTATTAAAAGAGGGAATCCTTCATTTACTGTTCATTCTGGACGTATTTCATCTTCCCATTTTATCCCTCTTTTGACTACTTTTGAAACTCATAAGAAACAAAACGCTGAGGGAAAAATGAAATTGAAGAAGACAAAAAGGAGAATCAAATTATAAAGATTTGGTAAAAAATGTAGGCAGTGAAAGGCGGTGGCTGTATTTTTCTTATTCTTTGCATTTGGCGAAAAATTAAATTGAATTATAAAGATTTAGTCAAAAATGTAGGCAGTGGCTATATTTTTCTTATTCTTTACATTTATATACAAAAAAAAAATATCTTTTTCTTCTTCACCGAGAATAGGCAACAAACGAAAAGATTGGGAAAAAGAAAAGAAGAGAAAAGAGAGAAGGATAGATTCAACATTCTTGTTGGAAAATTTGTGTTTGTTCCACCATCAGGTAAGATAAAAATAAGGAATTTGAATTAGTTGTGGGTTTGCTTACATATTACTGATAATTCAATCTGAAGTGTAAATTTTTGGAGGTTATTGTGATTTTCTAAATGAAATGTATGGGTTAACTTTGAGCATAATATGTGTATTTGGTTAATTTAAGTTGGAAATATAAATAAAAAATATGAAATTAAAGATAAATGATGAAATTGAACATGAGTATGTGTTTTTTCTTTTGTTGTAGATAAATTTGTCAACCAATAGGACACTAGAAATAGCAAAAAATATAATGGTACCCCTAAAATTTTTTATTGGTTTAGTTTGGATGTTTATAGTTTTTATATATAAGAAATTGCAATTTATGTAAACTACATGTATCCAATGTGTCCATCTCCTACATCTCTGAAAAATCACAGGTCAGCCTGTTTGTGTATATCAAAATACTCATTGCAAACATAGCCACATTCTTTAGTGAATTTAGACTTTGAGCACATATGGCTAAGTTTAAAAGAAAAAGGGTTTTGTAACTTTTAGTTTACAAGCATGCTTTTCATATCTCATCCATTTTTCTTTCTAGTAAGTAAAATAGTTACTTATTTTGAAAGTCAAAATAAGAAACTTACTCATTACCAATTTTAATCAATAAAAAATTATTCGTTTTAACAAGCTAATTTAAAAAGTTTAGCCTAGTTAAACACGCTAAAACATCTACTTAGATCACTTTTTATATTATCTCCATGCAATATATTACCTTTGTTTTTGTTTGAGGGGTTCCCGGCTTAGCTGTAGTTGTGCTCCCAAATCCAAACCTTGGTTTCTTTTCTGCCGGCTTTAATATTTGAAAAGAGCACATTAAAGTCTCATCCACACTCATCATTGCACCAGCATTGTCAAATTCTCCACAATAGTTCGGGGCAGAAAATATGGTGACAAGTTGTCTATCAGCAAAAAACTCATATCCATCTTCAACTACCTGCAATGAATCAAAAAGCGTACAAGTCACTGAAATTCCAGGTACTGGTAGATTAACAAACATCTTACAACCACTTAAACCTGGTGGGCTCGGCAAATAAGATCAAGATCATGCTTCTGAAGAAATTCCGTCACCTTATCAGGGCCAAATGTATAGGACACTCCCCTGTCATTCATTCCCCATCCTTTGACATCTTTACTGGGATCTGACCATAATAGATCACAAAGTAACCCAGTTTCTGGAACATCAGTTGGACGTTGTAGATTTCTTATTTGATCCAAATCGTGCAGATCAGGAGAAAGTCCTCCATGCATGCACAATATCTTTTCGTCAATAAGAGCTGCCACAGGCAGGCAGTTAAAACAATCTGTAAATATTTTCCAAACCCTAACATTAAATCTTCTTTTGCATTCATCATAAAACCCATATATGCGATTTACTGATGCACATTCATGGTTGCCCCTTAGAAGAAAAAAATTTTCAGGATACTTTATCTTATACGCAAGCAGAAGGCATATGGTTTCTAGACTTTGCTTCCCTCGATCCACATAATCCCCCAGGAATAAGTAACTCGATTGTGGAGGTAATCCACCATAATCAAAAAGTCTTAGAAGATCAGAATACTGACCATGAATATCCCCTGGTAAAATATCATACAGGAAAAGGCAAAATTAGATTGACATTTAAATTGTTCGAATAATGTAAATTATAAGCACACTACTGTATGATCAACAAAAATAAGCCATATAAATTGATTTCAAATGAGCAAAAGAAAGGTACCAATACAAAAAATATTATGATATTATACAAATGCACAAACTCCCAGCTTTATACCTACATGTGCATTTTTGAATATGTCGAAAGCCTACAAAGTCACGTGTATTCCGTTAAAGTTGAATATTAAATTCTTCAAACCAAAACTATAAGGACTACACTTATTTGGTATAAATTTTAGAAAATAGAATAAAATTTGGATAGGCAGCAAGGTCAAGCTTCACGCCTAGGCATCTAGAACGATGAGAAAAAACAAAACCAGTTTTCTGAAAAACATAAAGCGTGGCTAGGTTGCAAGGCCAAGCTTCGTGCCTAGGCTTTTATAAAAAGAAGAAAATCATGTATAAATAAAATGACCAAACATCAAACTGACACAGGCATTATTCAAGAGGGAACAGTTGACCAAGGTAGGACAGGACATAGAGTGGGCGGTGGCACTTCTAGGATACTGTTGGGCATGTACTTACAAATCTTTTTATGCACGTGGCTTGTTTTTATGTGAGCAACTAACAGCAGAACATGAAAACATATTGTTTAACGTCACAAGAAAAAAATGAAATAACTTGACCGCATGCCAAAACTATTATAAATAGATTAGGTTCTGCATTAGATGCTGGTTCCACTAAATTCTTCATGCTTGCCACAGAATCTATATTGAGTAAGAGAGCGAAAACCAAACCATATTTTAGGCATGTCATGAGGAGCTCACGCCAAAGACTAGAATTTGTTTCTCTTCCTTAATAGTCTCGAGTGCTATCCAATACTCCCTAATTCCTTCTAAACATGCCAATAATGCAAAATACATGTTGACAGAAAAAAAAAATAATAAGAAAAATCACAGACTATGACAACCAGTACAAGCATTTGTGCTGATTATACAACTTCCAAAATCCCACGGCACTTAAATATCTTTTTTTTTTTGATAAGTAATCAGAGAATATATTAATAAGTCAAGAGATAATACATGGGAAATGTATTATCAATTTAAACAATATAGGAACGACATGAAATTAGGTACCCCTTCTATATAGTTATTAGCCAAAATACTAAACCAACTATACAAAGTCAGATA